CATTTTATGGTTTATGTGTTTCCTAGATGTGTTTTTCTAAATGTTGCATTTTATTTTGATGTATTAAATCTTATAATTTTTTTTAAAATATTTTTTTACACTTTAATTTTCTCCATAGATTATGTGAGCAACATTAGTGATAAATTGTATTGTTTATCTTCTATTAAATTCTGCTCACTTATATGTTTTAAAATGATTTTTAAGAAATGCCGGCACACACCAGAACACATATTAGAAATACAGGATGCAGAGAACAAACTGAAGTTGAAATAGATATTCCGACAAATACCATTGAAACTTATGTTATAGGTATGCCTCTTATTTAAGATATTGTTAAAACTTTTTATGCTTATTTTTCATTTGCATTATCTTACTTATAAGATTTTAATTTTAAGGTATTTTTTCATAGCAGGTAGAAGCAATGAGGAGCAAAAACGAAAAAGAGGTCCAACATATATGTGTAGTATTTGGGGATATCATGCTACCCAAAATGGTGGAGAACGACTTATTGTTAATTTTAACAAATATGGTCAACCTATTGGGCAGAATAAATCATTATTTGTTGAGTTCTTAGGAACTATTGCTCGGAATGGGAAACATGCACCAATTGATATAAGAAGTTGGGATAAAATGCCGAAGTCTTTAAAAAAAAATATGTTAGAAGTTGTTCAGGTATTTATCTTCATAATATTTGTACTTTTTTGTTTGATTTCAGTTGCATGCATAAAATAACAAATATCTTTGGATATAACAAATAAATATTTTATTTTTTAGGAGAAGTTTGAGATTCCCCGTGCTTGTGATATATGGGTTCTCCAATCAATTGGGAAGAAATGGAGAAATTGGAAAGCAGACGTTAAATCTAGATATTATGATCCAAAAATGTCTACTGAATTACAACTATGTAATGTGCCAAAAATAATACTCAAAGATCAATGGAAAAATCTTCTAACCTATTGGAATTCAGAAGAATCAAAGGTATATTATTATAACTTTTAAATGTTAAAGTATTATTCATGTTATATTTTTTATTAACTCATATTTGTGTTTAGTGTATAAGTGAACGAAATAAA